GTATGCCATGCTTTTATGGCAGTTTGAATAAAGCCACTAGCTTGACAAACAAATGTAATTTGACCTTTAAATATTTGCCAAAACTCATGTATTTTTGGGTTAAACTGTTTTTATTTTTACAGTTACTTAATGGACCTTACTGGAGATTTATTTATTTATTTTTAAAATTATTTAAAATTAGTTTTTAATTTAGTTTAATTAATTTTTAATTTCATTTCATTTTTAATATATATTTACTGTTGCCAAAAGTTACTATAAATAATTTTTTTTAAATTATAAAAATGTATACAATTTAATCATATTACTTATATGTATTATATATATATACAGTATATACACTGAACAAAATTATAAACGCAACACTTTTGTTTTTGCCCCCATTTTTCAAGAGCTGAACTCAAAAGATCTAAGACTTTTTCTATGTATACAAAAGGCCTATTTCTCGCAAATATTGCTCACAAATCTGTCTAAATCTGTGTTAGTGAGCACTTCTCCTTTGCCGAGATAATCCATCCACCTCACAGGTGTGTTTTAATTATTTCAAAAATTTTATTTTAATTTATTGTTAATTACTTTTTCTGATAAAATGTAGTTTTTATTTTAAAATTTACTTTTTTTTATTTTGCTGATTCTGTGACTAATCTAGTTCAAGTCAGTGTTTGTAAACTAACTTTGTGTCTGAATTCCTTGTTGCTTTGTCCAAATTTTTTCTCGTAAGTGTCATATTCTGTCTGCACATTGCCGTTAGTACGCTAGTGTCTCTGAATGCCTGTTTGGATCTCAGTGTGGATAAGAGCAGGTGAGGCTTCAGACAGAGGCAGAGTAAAGCTGAATTTTCAGCATCATTGCTCCAGTCTTCAGTCTCACATGATTCTTCAGAAATCATTGTGATATGCTGATTTAATGCTCAAGAAAATTGTTGTTATTATTATTAGTTGAAAACTATTTCTGGAAATGTTAAAATACAGCATTTATTTAAAATAAAATCAGTTTTCTAATAAAGTATATGTCTTTACTGTCAATTTTGATTACTTTAATGTACCTGTGCTGGATAAAATTATTAATTTCTTAAAAAATATAAAATAATAATCTTGTTGACAAATTTTTTTTTGTATATTATAGTTATATTTGATTTAGATTTGATAATCATATTTTTTCTAACATATAATAACATTTTATTAATAATAACATGCAAAACATCTTAAAAGGTTTTCTTTCAAGAATGTCATCCCTTTAATGAGACTTTTTTTTTTGTCATTGTGATATCGGGACAGTTAACTGACATTTTTTGCTTCATGCTCAAAAAAAAAAAATCTAAATGAATCCTAATTAATTTATTATAATCATGCTGATGTGTATTCAAGTCAGTGTATTTATAAATTGCATTCTGAACGTTTTTATTTTTATTTTTTATTATTGTTAACAACTAAATAATTAAACTTAGATCTGTTCTGACTTGAAATAGTGCTCTAGTAACATGGCCTGAATTTATGATGATGTGCCTGCAAAGTCTCATACCTGAACTTAATGATCTTGATGCTTTAAGGCACTCGTGTGAGTCTTCCACATGCTCCCGGCTGCAGCCTGCGGCGACACATATTAGGATGCATCAGTACTCTGGATCCAAAGCACTCATTCATCTTCATTTACAGGAAACACGATTCAACATCAGGGATGAAGATCTGGCATGAGGGATTGGACATGCTATATTCCTGTAGTCAACATAAATAATGTTTGCTACTTTACAAACAGGTCTGTTAAACATAAACATGCTGAACTTGCGTGACAGAGATGGAGGAGGCAACTTAAGGAAATGAATCTTAAATAGAACTCTTAAAGGAAATGAAAATGTGTGCTTTTATTGAAGCTCATTGGTGTATCTAGTTTCTTCATCTTTTGGCAGTTTCTGATGTGGAAAATTACCATATCTAGTGTCAGCCATAATTTATACATTAATATGAAGCTCCTTTACATGAGCATATGAGAAATGCTCAAGGGAGGTCTGTTTTATCTTCATTGCACCTCTGCCGGTCGTTTTGGCATTTAAGTTGAAGCTGAAAACATCATATTTCATATTTTTCAGGTAGTTTATTGAGGATAAACAATGCACTTAGTGTAACGCAACATTTAACTTGCAGATAGCGTAAGCAGATACACCAAACTGTTTTGTGCAAAATGCAAAGATGTGTTTTTAATTTAAATCATTTTATAAAAGTAATTCATTCATCTTCCCTAATTGGCTGGAATTTCCTTTGTGTGTGTTCTGCTGCCCTCTAGTGGTCTAGTGAACCGCCTCCTCATAACCTTACTAAAGACTCCTGTAGTATGACATAGCATTGTTACAACTACTTCAATTAAATTATAAAATTGTATTTAAGCATATACGATATTTAAGTTGTATCCAACTGTAACGTTTTAAACAGTATGCTACATTGTTGTCATGATCGTTACGCTATTCATTACATTATGCCATCGTTATCATGTCATAAATAACCTTCGACATTTGTGAAAACGTCTTTACTTTTGGCAGTTCAATCAAATGACAAGTACATTTGTCGCTGAATTAACTTAGTCTACTTAATGCCAGTTCATTTGCCACAGAATGAATTGGCATGAGTTGGTACTTTAGTTTAACATTTATTTCTCTGCTCTTTTGAAAACTAGCACTGTGTCCTCAATCAACTCGGCCCCATAATGCGTGTTTGCTTACTCATTAATTGACATTCTCTGCTTTATAATGGCCTCTAATACAACATTAGCCTACTTCCTGATCGCAAAAGCTATTTTCCTATAAGGAAGTAAACAAGTCCTGAAAGGTTACATCAGGGTATAATTATGCACTGCTTTCTTACCAGGTTGCATTCCAAGTGTTTATCACGATGCTAAAGCAATGTTATATTAAGCAGTTTTGCTAAATGCCTTAAAGGGACAGTTCAGCAAAAAAATAAAAATTCTGTCATTTACCCTCGTCCTGTCAAACCTGTGTGACTTACTTTCTTCTGTGGAACACAAAAGAAAAGGTTTTGAAAAATGAAAGGCTGAAGTTGGAATTTCTGAGGGAAACTTTTCTTTTTGTAGTACGTTCCTGTCCAGAGTTAAAGGGACAGTTAACCTAAAAATTAAAATATGCTGTTAATTTACTCACACTCAGGCCATGATGGGTGACATTTTTTCCATCAGTAGAACAGTAATAAAAAGTCTGGCAAGTCTGATTCTTTGCCGTGAACTGGTTCATTCACAGTTTGTTCAAATAACCGATTCACCAGTTCATTTACGTAATCACGCAATGATGTAACATACGGAAATCTATTATTAAAGCACCCAATAATGATGTGAAACATGATTTACATGTTATTTTACATAAACAATAAGAAACAAGCTTCAATCTCGCCCCGTCATTTAAGTGCTGGGTTCACGCATGCGCATATCAGCAGCGAGTTCATCGTAAAATCATATATGCCGGTATTTCGGCTTAATTTGAGTGACTGTCAGGCATCCGAAATTGAATTTTGATTGAGCAACTTGTAGATCTGTGCTAACTCAATTCAGTCCGATTTGGTAAATTCAGTTCATCTAGCTCACTAAAAAGAACCGGTTCAAAAGAATGATTCGTTTGTGAACTAGACATCACTCTGGACCGTTTGTCTGAGGCTCTGGATTACAGGTAATAATGTTGTATATATATTAAGTGGCATCAAAAATTAAGTACAATGTACTTATTGTGTTCATATTGTATTGCAAAACACTTTTGCTGCTATTGAGGTGGGATACGGGTAAGGTTAGGGACAGGTTTGGTGGTATGGGTAGGTTTAAGGTCGGTTAAGGTGTAAGGGATGGGTCAAATGTGTAACTATAAATGTAATTACAGAAATTAATTACAGATGTAATTACATGCAGGTATTTTTAAAATATAAGTACAATGTAAAAACATGTATGTACACAATAAGTGCATTGTACCAAATTATTAATTTAATTGTAAGTACATAGTTGTTAAGGCCACTTAATATAAAGTGGGTCCCCACCTTATTCCTAAACACGTAAGTAAGCCTATATGGGCAAGACTTCTGGTTCATTAGCCACTACAGGGAAATAACGAGAAGAATAACAATGTGCAGTAAACGGTAAAACTGCTTGCACTACAAACCAGTGTGTTCATAATTAAGATAATACACTAAAATAATATGATAAGACACACCAATTTGCAATTAGGTTTTGTATAGCTAAAAATAGCTTGGAAGCAAATAAGACCGGAAGCAAGTTTACAAATAGCAAATGTACATTTTTACGGGAAGAATAAGGTTATAGTTTCTTGCGCAGACCGACTGTTTTGCTTCATAAGACTTCAATATATCATCAGGAGACACGGGTATTAATTTTGTGTTTGACTCTCAAAATAACGGTAGCGTTGACTTTTGCATTTTATGAATCACCAACCAGAGTTTCAGCTAAACATCTTCTTTAATGTTCTACTCAAGAAAAAAAGTCACATACATCTTGGATGGCCTGAGGGTGAGTAAATTAACAATTTTAAATTTTTTGGGTGAACTATTCCTTTAATCCGAGCAGGTTTAGACAGAGCAGCAGATAGCAGAGTGAGAGTTAGTAATAAGCAGAAGAGGTTAGAGGAGGAGGAAAGTTACAACCATTCAGTACTCTTACAAACACAGACCATTCTCTCTTCAGATACAGGCACTGAAGAAGCACAGCTGTGTTTGCTGAGCACTGAACATGGAAGGAAATCTGCTGAATTAAGGACACATCCGGAAGGAAAGACATGAAGACGCAGAGGACATAGGAAAGTACAGATGTCATGACATTTATTCAAGGCATGCTACAATTAAAGTTGATTAGGAAAAACGTCAGCAGGGTGGGTAATAAGAATAAGAATAATAACTCTAATAATGAGTATGCATAATAATAAGCCATTCATAAACAGAAAAAAAATCACTTTCTACAAAAAAATACAAAGAAAATCGCCACTCAATCATGCACTGCAAAAATGAGAAAATATGTTTCTTTAATAGTTTATCTTCTATTTGCATTTATTACATCAAACTCATAAACTGGATACACTCATGTCTCTCCCCAATTCCCACAAGTCACATAAATGGCTTTACAAATGAAAGCTGGTACTGGTATGATATCAAAATACAGAAGACAAATTGTGTTTTTATGTTAATTGCCATAAATATAAAAACCAGTTCATATTGGTGTGTGTGTATCTTGTTCCCCGAAACCATTTTTTGGCCAGGTTAAAAAATAAAATCAAATAAAATAATAAGGGAACACATATGTACAGACAGCATTTGTTTCCTTTTGGTAGTGAAACATTCATAAAAACTATAAATTAGGTATTTCATTGCATGTCAAAGCATCCTGAGTTCAACTCAGGCATTTCTGTATGTGCGCTGTGCTTGAGCAACACCTCAGTTTGCTAATTTAGTCTAGCCCCTCCCTTTAATGCAAATTAGACAGTTCAATTAGCATAATTATAGCCCATAAATTTAGTCATGAGAAGAAAATAGAAAGCATTATGGCTGAAATTTAAGGTTTAGATTGTAAGGGTCAATTGCATCATAAAGCAATAAAATATTTCAGTCTGAACAGTGCTGAATTAGTTCCAATTCAATTAAATCCTTTGGTTTCAGTGGTTAGTTTGTTGTTATGGTCTCGTATGCTTTAGAGTAAAGCTTGAGCAAGAGTCGATGACAATATCAGCAAAAAGTGTAACCGCTTATCCGTTTTACAGATCGTGGCGTCTATCCGGAGCAGTTCATGAAATACTGAAAGCGAAAGGCGGTTCAAATGAATCCATAAGGGCCCGGTAACACATTCAGAATTGCAAATGAGTCTCGTTTGACGGGGGGGAAAGGATATGGCTTGACCTTTCTGAGGGAAACGAACAGAACAGACTGCGGGACACTCATAACATGATCGAGAGTGGAAAATACAAGAAGTTTGTTGGTTTCTGATATACAGCCAGGAAATAAGTTACACATAAGCTAGATGAAGGGAAAGGATATGGCTTGACCTTTCTGAGGGAAACGAACAGAACAGACTGCGGGACACTCATAACATGATCGAGAGTGGAAAATACAAGAAGTTTGTTGGTTTCTGATATACAGCCAGGAAATAAGTTACAAATAAGCTAGATGAAAGGCACATAAACTTTGGTCCTGCATTATTTGTGACTTTTTCAGTAAAAAAACTGGAAAAAACCATACACGTGTGTAACTGTTCGCGTGAGCGCGGATATCGACGAGAAAATGTCTTACAACACAGCGGAACGTTGTTGCCTGAGTCAAGACGTAGTTGGAAAATGTTACGCTTTGAGAAACAAAAACGAATGACTTCTTGTGACTTCTGTGACATGTTTATGGAGTCTGGCTTTTCTCCTGTTGATAAATAAAAAGCATCGCAGCCGGAAGCAGATCGACTTCGCGTCTATTTCGCCTTCCGAGCGCTTCTGACGGACCTGACCTCTAGCGATCACTCTCGTTCCCGTTCGCACACATCGGTGGATGTTACAGACCCAGAACTGCTGTTGTGAAGAGGCAGAGTGACAGACAACAATCTTGAACCAGTTTTCACACTCTTAATAAAGAAAATCAACAAACCCCAAAAAAAGAACAAAAAGTATCACAACAGAGCAAGAACGAAACAGGCCAAAACCCCTAAAATTAATCAATTATAAGATACAGTAAATAAGATACAACTCCAAAACACACAGGCGGAGGGGAGGTCTCAGACATCAGCATCACTCCATAGCAAAATGGAAGGCAGACCTGAACACTTAGAGCGAATGCTGTGGGCTTCTGGGTCTCTGTGCGCTCGTTCCGAGGCAAATTTAGACTGATCGTATGTATTAGGAGTTTCATAATCATATTAGAATGACAGAACAGAGATGATATCAAGCAGATCACACTGTATGATATAGTCCAGATATTGATTTCTGAGTGGTCCTTCGCCGGCATCGCATTATGGTTTGTGGGAGGTTGCCAGAATGCTGCTATATGGTTGCTGAGATGTTCGGAATGGTTTTAATGCGTTGCTATGCGGTTGCTAGGGTGCTCTGGTGGTTGCTAGGTGGTTACTTACTGGCCCAAAGTAAAAAGAGCCCACCTCCAAGATTCAAGATTAGTGGTCGACCCATATAGATTTTTTTGATGACCGATATCTAAGAGAGCATGGTGGCCAATATAAAGCCGATATATCACCACACTATTTCATTTAAAGATAGTAAAACACATGCATAACAATTGCTAAAATTAAATGTATATTTTTTCTACATAATATTTACTGAATTTTATCATTTGAAAATTAATAAATATGAAAAAATTAACTTAATTAAAAATAAATCTGTAAAATAAATACTTTTAATTAGATGGTCATTTTTTTATGCAGTCAACAAATGCACATTTCAGAGGATCTCACAGCTGAATTCAATCAAATTTGCAAGGTTAGTCAAATTTACTACATACTCAAAGACTTTAGTTTAAATTAAATGTGTATTTGCTGACACTTGATGAGGAAGTATTATAGTGTTTGCTTTTCTGTTACCAATAATAGAAAAGCAAACGCTATAATACTGTTTAGTATGGTACTGTGTAATAATTTATTATTCAGAACTGGTAAACTAATGAAGATGGAGAACGGGAGCTGTGTGCGTTTAAGCGCTGACGTTCTCAGCGCTGTCAGAATAAATGTCCCGCGCGCCATCAAAATAAAAGTCTTCTGAAATATCGGGTAAACAGGAATAAAAAAAGCCAAATATCGGCCGATATATCGGTCGACCACTACTCTAGAAACAACTGGAAAGTCTACTCTAGACTTACTCCTTTAATGTAAGTCACTGGGATTTTTTCTTTGCCCGTTTTAGCATTCGTCTGGCAAAAAAGTGTGATCACTTAGAAAAGAACAAAAACTTCACAGATGTGCTCATAACAGCTCAAATTCATACTATTTAATCAGAACAATACGCAAGCTTACAGCAACCTCTGTCTTTGAGCGCGAAATATTTATATCAGAGATTGAGGAAAATTTTTTGGCCTAGAAAGGCTTTATGTAACAATGGTACGCGGGTCTAGCATACATATGTACACACACACACACACACACACACACACACAGACACACACACATCAGCGAGGGAGAATAGAGACCCACAGCATGCTCTGAACATCGTTGAGTTCAACGTTCATTTTTCTAATAAGAGCATTCACAGCACCATACATCATAACTTACATCTCATTTCATATTAAGACCACATTGTACTGAGTCCCCACAAAAATGCACATCTATAAGAGCTACACAACAAAAAAAATAAAAATAAAAATCAAGATCAAAATAAATCAACCCTCTCACCAATCCCACAAAATAGTACATAAGATATTTTAGGTAAAATTTCTAAAACCTATTTGATTATGAACACATAATAAGGCACGTAATAAAAAATTAGGTAAATACACAGTAAATATGATTTTTTTTCACCATGATTTCTTGAATGATTATAGTGGTACAAAAACCCGATGAGGTTTTAAATTTAATTTTTTTTCTCTTCCATAAAAAAGAACAAATTACCAAAAATAAGTAACTTTTTTTTTCTCAATAAATCTTGACAATCCTTAAGATATATAGACCTGAATAGTTTTGCTTTAAGACTGTAAACTTCAACAAAATTCAGTTTCTTTTGAGAAGTGAAAGCGAAGTTTCGAATCGCTCCAGGTGAAATCAGTCAAAGACAAAAAAAAAGTCACTGTCCCTTGCCTTGCATGAACATGAAGATTCTTGATTTATTTCATAACTGTGACTCAAACGGATATTAATAGAGGATATAGCGCACAGGCACAGAAGCTGCTCCCTTTAGATGCTACTCAACAGGTCTACGGTGACCTTCCTTGGAATGTTAAGGCCAGATTTTCACTAAATGAGACAGCGCCTTGCTCGCACGCACAAGGGAGTCATCATATATCATCATATATGAGAGAGTCCTGATAAAACCGGTAATAATACACTAGTACTAACTAAATGCATACATATAGAATCAGCTTCTGCATGTGCACACCATTGCCATGTTCCAAAACCTAGTGAGCTGTCTACTTAGACAGCATTTTAAGGCATCACAGGCATGCTCCCGGCACAAAGGCTGTTCCAGCCTTCTAAGATATCTAATTTTGGCCAAAATCTAAGGCAGCATTGCATGTATCCTTTGTGGATAAGGCAATCCCAGAATGCACTGGGAAGCTCATTCAAGATGGTGGGCGAATCAAGGTAAATGTCAATTATGAATAAACGTATAATTTCCTGAATACAGAAAAATATAAATTTGTTTGATTAAAAATGGTTTATTTTGACTTCAGTGGTGAATTTTCGTATGAGGCCAAATACCCTAAAATTGAATCAACTGATTCAAGAGTTAGCATGTAGCTAAGCTAATGTTGCAATACCTGTGTATAAACAAAGCACACGTAAATATTGAGCATTTTCTATGTATTTTTACATTTACATAGTGTGTGATATTTGTCGCAGTGCACTGCAACATCTCTAAACTGTCTATAGTTAATAAAGCCAAAGTTCCAAATTTGTCCATTCGTCCTGTTGTCGGAAGTAGCGCAAAAGCACAGATTGCATCAGAAATAGTGCCGCATCCAACGTAGACAGAAATGGGCTCTTTTTATTTTGTACTGCATTATCAGCTTCGCAACATGCTAACATGTAACTGAACTAAAATCAATAGAGTCCTCCAATGCCAGGCTTCAAATGCTGCTCGAAACTCGTAATGTATCAATTTTTGAATGGAATCTATGGAGGAAATGCTAGTTTTGGTGTGAGCTATATTTGGATCTTGCTGCCAAAAAATCCACAGGATTTTGATGATCTCCGTCAATGATTATTGACTGTTGCAAGTATTTCCATGATGTCAAGGTCTTTGTGTGATTGGCTTACAAGATTCATCTAAGTTGACCGTTTTTTTCCCCAATGATACAGACTCAGAGTTCACCATCTCCACCTCTCGAAGAAAACCTCTGGTCTGGACTCTATTGGAGGCGAGTTTCCTGTGCAGATCAGTCAGTTCAGATTAGTCACTTATGGGCTTTCACGGCAATTAGGATGCTGCCTTAGAAGGCAGCTGCCTATGCAGAAGCTCGCTAGGTTTTGGAAACTAGGTGGCGTCTCCATATCATTCAGAGTCGCTCTTTCCTTAAATATTTGGTTTGGTCAGATGCAGAGGCATTTAGTGTGGGACTGCAAGGCAAAAGAGAGTGCCGCCCTCTTTTTTTTGCTGTGACTCAATGGGCTTCACTACAGTTTCTACAGAGCCCATGGCTGCAAACTCTCACACCTGTGGCCAGAGCCGAGGAGTGAAAGAACAAAGTAAAGAGCACAGAACCTTCTGCCCCTGTGTGGAAAGATGGAAAACAAGAAGAACGAAAGGAAAAGACTCAACTAAGAGCAAGAAGGGGAACAGAATGGAGGAAATCATCAATTTCCCATCGAGATCACGGGCTATACCATTCACATTGAGAATTTCACTTAGGAGGCGGAGCCTACTATCAGGCTGGGCGTTGCTGATTGGTGCGTTCCAGTAAGGTTGACAGCTGGCCGTGAGTTTTCTGGAATGATCGTGCATGTTTGAAAATGTTCGCCCCGGTTCAGAGGAACCCGATCGACTGGACAATGACATTGCAGATGTTCTCTGACAGCATTGCAGGTGCAGAGAGCCCACGAAAGGCTCTATAATATGTATTATAAAATTTTCATAATACAAGAAAAAAACAAATCACGCCATTCACTATCTATTCACAGATGCCTACCATCTGGCTATACATCTTTGCACAGTAAACAGATATGAGGATGCCAAACATTCTCCACGGTGCCTGTCTTCAATTCAAATCAATCAAAGTGCCGAGAAACAAAAGGTTTGTAAGCCGAAACAGCTGCGAATTTTGAATGCACTCATTCTTGAATCCATAGCACTCTTGTTTTAATGCTACTCTGAAGAAAAAGGACAAGCCCATTGGTCGAGGCCGTCGCTACAGATTTTTTTTTTTCCAGCAGCACCTTGATGATGACGTCAGCGACATTCAAACAGTGACCGTGCGTTCAACACATCCCACGGGAAATGGGACGCTCTGTTGAAACAGCCAATGAGAATGAAGGTGTCGTTTTTTGGGGGAGGCACAGAGGAGACTCCGCCCTCACTTAGGTCTGGGGTAACAAGGCCATTGGGCTACAGGAGCGTCAGTCTCCAATGTAATCGGCAAGTGTGCGGTGAAGAAACTTCCTCAGCATTGACTTTTTTGAGAATGTTCACGTGTTAGTTTGCGTTTCACATCAATGAAGTCCTCGCCAATCGACTAAAGAGGGAGTCCTACTTCCTCCACACGGAGGTTCCCAGAAACGTCACATTGTCATGGATATCCCATGTGTCTTCAGCCCTGGTTTCGTGAGAGTAAAACAAACTCACTCTCAGACTGTCTAAAGGTTCTGCAGTAGTCTCTTATTTGTTTTTTTCTTTCTTTTTTTGTTTGGAAATCTCTAAAACTACCCCATGAATATCTGTAATGTTTTTTTAGTTTGTCAGTCAGTCTTATTCTCTGAACGAAACAGTCAGACTGCTGAAGGTAGAAGGGCTGGTATGGGGAGGATGGGGAAAGGGTGTGTTTGTAGTGAAGGGGGTGCTAGATGGTGGATTTGGAGAAGGACACTCGCAGATGGTGGTTTTCCCCCAGGTCGTGGTTGTGGAGGTCGATAAGAGCCTGGATGGCTTCTTCCACCGAACCCAGCTGGATCAGCGCCATCTTGCGGTCCTTCCTATTAATCATATATGGATAATGAAAATCAGACACTGGGTGATCCTGAAATTTAGGACCAGTTGGTCCAATGAGATAAGGTCCAAAATGTAAAAATCTTTTGAACACATTTGTGTTGGTTTAGAATGGATTTGAAAAACATTTACAGCATTTCCAACAAAATAGTTTCAATGACTTGCTCTAGTTTTAATGACTACTCTAAAATTGTCATGCGGGGTAACCATCAACTAAAAAGGTATATATTACAAAAAACAGGGATAGTTCACCCAAAAATGAAAATTCTGTCATCATTTACTCAAGTGAAGAATGTTGGTAACCAAACAGTTGCTGGTAGCCATTGACTTCCATAGTATTTTATCCATACTATGGAAATCAATGGCTACCGTCAAATGTTTGGTTACCAACATTCTTCAAAATATCTTCTTTTATGTTCAACAGAAGAAAGAAACTCATAAAAGTTAGTAGTTATTAGTTAATGATGACAGAGTTCTCATTTTTGGGTGAACTATCCCTTTAAACAATGTAAAAAAGGAATGTCTTTTCTGCTCCTAGAGGGCCACCTAGCTACACATGCTTCCCTAGCAAGCTTAAAATCCCTGTTCACTTTTTAGAAGATCATATAGACAGTGTTTATAACATTCCATTTATGTGTTTTCACAAAACAACTCATCCTTATCGGCCATGTTGTCTTGAAGAAAGGTACAAGCAGACTCTTCCCCGTGTGAACAAAAACTTCTTAAAATAAATGACGGCTGAGAACAAAAACAAATGTGAAGAGAACTCACTGGAAAAACTTGAAGGCCTTGACTGTGTATCCAGAACTGGCAAACAGGTCTTTCAGAAAATCATCCGTAGTGGAGGGACTGCAAAACACAGTGTTTACAAAGGACAAAAAATAGCACCTTATCTGATGCCAACAATAATGCAAAACTTCTAGTGGAGTCAAACAACCGATAATATGATAATATGTGTGGGGCGATATGAATAAAAATCATATATCATGGTATAAGTAATTTTACAAAACTGTGATATTATGCATCACAATGATGTTTCTTTTTCTGGAAATTCAAACAACAAATGTTTTATATATTGCAATGCAGCCAATGTCTATTTTTCTGGTGACCCCCCTTAATTATGCTTAATTAAGTTAGTCCAGCAAAACTGGGTTGTTTTTTGTAGCAGTTGTTTGTAACATGCTGTATTGAGCGTGTGGTGCCCGATGTGTGGGTGTGTGCCAGTCACTCACGGGATATTTGAGAGGTGCAGGGTGGCAGAGGGAGGGAAGATGTTCTGGAAGTTCTTGGAGCCGGGCTTTTTGAAGCGGTGCAGCGGGCTCCCACTGAAGTCTTTGGTCAGGCCCTGGTCCTCCTGACCCTCCCTGGGGAGCTGCACCGTCTGGTGCTTTGAGATGGTCACACGGATCACCTTACCATACAGACGCTGACCGTTCAAATGGCTCATGGCTTCACAAACAAACCCAGAGATAATGTGTTACAGATAAGCTTTAACCCTGAGACACATCATATTACACTTACACTGAACAAACCTTTTTCTTACATTTGAACAACAAAAACTCATGCATAAGGGTTTTTTCCCCAACATTTTTCACACACTCACACACATACATTTTGGCTTCATTCATAAAACACAAGCAGAGAGCGAAGTTCTGAGTAAATCATTTTGTTATAAAATGTAAACAATTACTGTATCAAATTTTGAGGAATTCATTGTTAGGTTAATGTGTGTAAATCAATAGCAAAACCATGCCTACATAAATTCCTGTGTAAATCATATATGAAGCCATTCTTATGTCAATTTCTGTGAATAATTCACCAAACCTTTTTATGTAAATTTGTGTAAATCTTTTAGAAATTGATTTATACATAAATGTTGTATAAAACATTGATACAACCATTCTTAGGTTTGTTTCTTTGTAAATTAATAACAAAACTATTCTTAAACTTCTACTAACAATGAATTGTAAATTTTTTCACAAAACCATTCTTACCTTAATTTATGTTTAAATCAATAGCAAAACCATTTTTACATAAATTTCGGTGAAAATTGTGCATAAAATCATTCTTATGCAAATTTCTTTTAATAGTTTTGTGAAACATTTTAAAGTAAATTTGTGTAAATTACTTGCAAATTGATTCAAACACAAATGACTGTATAAAACTGATAAAAACAAAGTTCATTTTTTTGTAAATCAACAGCAAAACTATTCTTACATAAATTTCTGTGTACTGTACATTTTTTTGCAAAATCAATATTACGTTAATTTACGTTAAAGTCGATGGCAAAACCATTCTTCAGTAAATTTCTGTGTATTGCGTTTGCAAAACCTTTATGTAAATTTGAGTAAATCATTTGCAAAAATGATTCTCACATAAATTACTGTATAAAATGTTCTTATGTACATTTTTAAATCAATAAAACCATTTTGTACATTTCTGTGCACTGTAGAATTTTTATATTTAATAAAAATTTACATTTACATAAATTACATTTAAATATGGTTATCACAACCAAACCTTTGCAGTGTGTACAAGTCCTTTCATTTCTCCTTGCACCATTTCATAATCTATTATTAAATTGCATCAGAATATTCCTATGTATCTAAATTATGAGACATTTAGTAGAAAAAAAAATGCAATCTTTATAAATATTTCATTCATGGTTCTTGCTACATCCACCAGCGATACAACCAGATTGATTTGTAGCTTTAACACAGACACAGAATACGCCGATAAAGACGCCTGATCAAAGAATGAAGAGAATGTATCGAGATGAAAAGGATTTCAGTGTAATGCCTGGCGTACCGAGCTGGGCTTGCGTGGCGTCTGCCATCTGTATTAAGGCATTCTCTTTCTTGTTGAACAGAATCTTGACTCGGTGAACATCTCCATACACTCCTGCCAGGATAAAAGAGAAATTTGACTGTTCGTGCTCAAACACACCGTGAACACAATTTACAGCAAATAACACGCTATCTGCGGATCTCAGTGTTTCATTATTGAAGGCAGAGGGCGACAGTAACTCCTCACATGCTCAGACGAGCAAACATTTTAAAGGATATCACTCACACTAAGGTCTGTCTCTTGATGTTGACAGTTATTAAATTGTAGGGACAATAACAATGGCTCACACTGAGCGTGTATGGGAGAATTTGAACATTCATATGACGGGTCACAATCTGCAAATAATCTCCCGACTGTGTGTTCATAAGGAAATGGTCTCATCGCTCAGCTTCTATCCTCTACTGCCTTCATAAAAACAGCCGTCTGCTCATCTAATCTGGAAGAGTAATAAATTCGTCCTTACCGAATAAAATGAAGAGCCCGTGTGGTGTTATGCTCTGCAAGAGATGGGACATTATCATAGAGATCATTCAGTACTGAAATGTAAAAAGCGCTGGAAAAAGATGAAATGAGTATGTGTAAAATGTATGAAGAAACATTAATAGATGTGGTGATTGACACTGATCACTTCAATGTGAGTGCTGGTCACTAACGCTGCAGAATTAAATGAAGAAAGTGTCTTGTGACATCAACTGCTGAGACTGAATAAAGTTGCATGAAAATAGGTTTGGATTAACTCATATGACGAGAAAAAAGACTGGAGGGAATCACTGTAAATGCACTGATATTTATGGTCAGTGAGTGTTTATACTCCCATCATAGTCTCTGTGCAATACCATAAGCAAAGTAATGGCTCAGATTAGTCCAATAGACCTATAGATACACGTAAATTTTTAACATACATACCAGAAAAAAACTACAAATAAGTGTATCTTTATACCATTATATATTTTATATAAATGATAAAATAGATATTCCACAAAAATGTGAAGCAGCACAACTGTTTTCAACATTGATAATATTAATAAATGTTTCTTGAGCAGCAAATCAGCATATTAGAATGATTTCTGAAGGATCGCGTGAC